TGCTTTCCTTTTTTTTTTTTTTTTTTTTTTTTTTTAATTGCTTCTTCTATTCTGGGGGGCTATGTCCGGTTGCTCATCACCGGCAAGCATGTTTTTACATCTGAAAAGAGGAAGGTGGGTGAACAGACAAGACAGAGGACCAGCCTGTCCCTTGTGGCCCTAGACGCCTGGCAAGGGGGGACTGTTTTGGAGCAACCCTCCCCCCCCCTATCCTTAGCTTTTCGGGGGGGTTGCCGTACTGGCCAGGAAGCTTACTGGCAGCACCCAGTCATGCAGTAGGGCAGCCCTCAGATAGGCAGGGTGCGGGAGGGGTGCTCCTGCCAGTTCCTCAGGCCGCTTAACATCCTGTTACCTGTTTCTAATATCCCTCGTGGCACATAGCCCCTACATTACCTATGTCTGAAGCCCATATATCGTTCCAGCCTATTCCCCTGTAGTTACTTTTCCACCTCTACCTAACTGTTCTCATTCAGAATGTGTTCCGCTTACCTCTTACGTCTATACAAAGTATTACAAACCATAATAATAGGCCCTCCTACCGTCGCACAGATACATCCAGATCGTGTTCCACTTATCCCCCCCATTTATACAAAGCCCCAATAGACCACGTCACCATGTATTTCTAAAGTGCATGTTTTCTTTCTTCTTTGATTGGATTGTATGCTCATCCTTTTTCGTTTGCGTGCCTCTCAACTATCCCCAAACCTTAGGAATGTTCGATCAATCAAGGCTACTCTCCTCACAAATGCATGTGAAATGCATGTTCCGCATCCTCCAAATTCCCCCTTGACCCCAGCACATCACTATGTATTCTTACGGTGCATGTTTTCTGTTCTTTGTGATAGGATAGGAGTACGATCGTCCTGTTGCTTCTTCGTGTCCCTCTCGTCTCAAACCGTTCAAATTTCGATCAATTGAGGCTACCCCCCCTCCTAACAAACGATCCAGGTTCTCTTCCTGTCTGTACATTCTCATCCTGTCCGTATTGTGCTGTCCTCAGAGCATAGTTGTCAATGATTTCTCATGGCTCGCACAATGCTTCTGCCCCGGTACCTGTTTGTTAATCTCTGGGCTCTCCTCTCGTGCCATCCCATCGGATCGTGTACGACGCTTTTGTACGACACCCTGCTCGAGATCTTGTTTGTACTGTTCTCTGCATCCCCCTAACAAAGGATGCATGTTCTCATCCTGTCTGTACATTCTCGGCCTGTCCGTAATGTGCTGTCCTCAGAGCATACTCGACCATTTTTCGTCATGGCGCGCACAACGCTTCTGCCCCGATATCTGTTTTTTTTGTTCATCTCTGGGCTCTCCTCTCTTGCCAACCCATCGGATCATTTACGACTCATTTGAATGTCGACACCCTGCTAAAGATCATGTTTGTACTGTTCTCTGTGAGTTATCTGTTTGCCTCTTTGTGGTACGGCATCCAAGGCTTGGGAGCAGTATACTGCACTCATTCAAGGTTTTGGAGCAGTATACTGCACTCCTCGATGCCTCGTAAAAGCATCTGTTTTCATTCCTACTACACCCCTTGATGTCTTGTAGAAGCATCTGTTTTCATTCGTTTTGCTGTCATCCTTTTCGTTTGTTTTCGCCTTTTTGTTCTCGCCTGCCCACCCTGCCTTCCCTTCCCTCCCTACCCTCTTTTGGTGGCATCTGTTTTCTGCAACAGACATAATTTGCAACTGAGTGGCTTGCACATCGATGCTGGGAATGTGGAGAGCTGTCTGTATAGGGCAGGCATGCGACACAGAGTTGGTACTGGGCAGGTATGGACCCAGATCTCTATTGAAATGATATGGATTGATTGGATCAGATTCTCAGTCTCTTTCACCACTTCCCTGTTGTAGTAAAGAGGAGTTTTGTTGGTATGGTAAACTACTGAACTAAATAGACTGAGCAATGTGCGTTGTTTTGACGGCGCACTTCTTTTGCATGTGAATTTCTGTGCTACTCCAGTTTTCTGGGAGATTCACATAGGGCATCCCTATGTCTCGGCACCCTTGATGCAGAAAGTAATGATAACTAACCAGAGCAGACAGGACGGATACTATGTGTTTCGTGACTTTGGCTTTCTGAGGTTCATCGAGGTGGCAGGCAAGTCCTCTGGTGTTTCATGGAGTGGTGAGGCATGTCCTGAAGATTCCACAAACAGGATACTGCAGTTTGGATGGAGAACTACAGGGGAGAACAACTTGGAATGGAAAAGAGGGGAGTCAGCTGTGAGGGAGTGAGGGGAGCATGCAAAGCCAACACAGAGATCTGCAGCATGAGAAGATACACACTTGTTTATGAAAATAATAAATGCGACCAAGAGGAAGTGAGTGTGTGTTTGTGTGTGTGTGTGTGTGTGTGTGTGTGTGTGTGTGTGTGTG